CATCCAAGTGTAAATCGACTTGTTGGAAATAAGGCCATGCTTCTTCTTTATTTTCCATAAAAATCTTACAGTTGTATTTCTACTCGTTCAAAGGATAGACCAGAATGATCATTTCTCTCTAGTGGCTTTTCTTTTAGGGGAGAATAGAAGAACGTGAAATTCACTTGAGTCTCCCTTGAAAACCAAATTTAATTGAAAGAATGCATTTGTCGCAATCAGTCCAATTATTGGTTCGAGTAGAACATAAGGTTGACGGAAACTCGGTGACTGCGCCTACTTGATGAGCCCCAAGAAGGGCGAAACTGGTCGTGGGTTGTCGAAGAGTTTTCAGCAAACTTGTGAGTACTTTCCTTTATGAGCATAGAAGTATTTCGCGAGAAAATGGGTCATTCAGGATAGCTATGTGAGCTGTTGAAATGATTGTATTAGTTCTGTAATCAGAAGGCCTACCAGGTGAACTTGTGACCCTATTTCGGTTTTTGATATCATCTCAGCCGAAAATTGTGTCAGGCTCAAAGCCTCATAAGCGTCCAGCGGTCGGAGGCTTCACATTCGTTTTGAACTACTCATAAGTAGTTTGAAGGCTTACAAAATTCCAACTCTGAAGCATCAAAGACATTTGACGACTGACATAACTGGCCACAGAAGGCTAATCGAGGTTTCAAGATAACAGCGAAAACTCTGGTACGATTTCTATCCATTTGAAATCAGCTTCCAAAGGCTGAAATAATCACCAAGCAATCAAATAAAATTTTACCCTAAGCCTAATATTTCCTAAAATTATCAACTCTTCTCGGACCAGTAATCAGCAAAGCTGAGGAAAAGCGACCACCTGAAATTAGGAACCTGCCGTACAGTTCCATTTCGTTCGAAAAAGCCGTTTCGGCAGACTCTCCAACATCTGCGTCCCTGTAATGAAAGCCTGTCAGCATTTGCTGTGGGAGGGGGTCGTTCAGTATACCTCCACAGCTTGTGCGACATCCTCCCAATCAAAATTTCACACAATTTTTTGTAGTGATGCGGAGTGGTATGCAATTTAAGCCTTCTCTCCTCCTTACTAGTTATGATAATACATTGCCCCCTTCTAAAACCAATGAGCCCACTCGAAATTAACCTGTTCTATTTTTTAAAAACCCCATTCTTGTCTATTTTATTCAGATAGACAAGGTCCACTGACCCTGTGGGCACTACTCCTGAGTTATTAAATGTATTCTATGGCACCATAGAGAGACAGCACGATGTTTTAATGCAAAAGGCGGTGCCCCGAGAGAGGCTCGAACTCTCGACCTCCGCATTATAAGTACGGCGCTCTAACCAACTAAGCTACCGGGGCGGTGGCGGGGTTCCAACTTAGTTTTTGTGAACAACTTTCGCGTTGCAACCTTAGTGACAGGACATGTAATTTTGTTTACATTTTCCGCTTACACCTTACAGATCAGTCTGCTTTAGGTTTTCTCACTCATTTTCTCCGGAAGGCCCCGAAGAGTTACGAAGAACAATCAACATTCATTGCCGTTGTGCATTTTTCTCTTCCTCTAGAAAAATCCGCTCAACGAATCGCTATCCCGACTTTTCAGGTCTAGAAATTTTGTGTGGCCCCAGTGACTCTTTTCTAGTTGACTGGATTCCCGCATTTTCGTGGCAGGCTTGAACACACGGAAAGCGACTCGTTTCAAGATAGTGAACATACGACTAAAGAGGGACGTTCCGACTGAAAGTCAGGTCGAAACAAAAATGCCTTGATTCACTCTTAGTTCGCGTTGTGTTAAAAATTTGTCAGGGAGACTTGCAGAATAACAACAGCTGCGCGGAAATACAGCATAAGTTTCTAGACAGTTGACGGCCTAGGGTAGTGTTGACAATCGGCTCAGAGTTTACCGAAATATCCAATGTGTGAAATCGTGTCGCTAAGGCGCATGTTGACAGAATTTTCACTAATATAGAAGGAGAAAGGCTGGCAGGCACAGGATGGGCAGTATCATCAAACCACTCGGGTGAATTGAAATTCCTGGAACGGTACTCCTCAGTAAGTCCACTAGACGGTCACGTGATTGGAATGCCTCTTCCTTGAAAGGCATGGAAAATTTCATGAGATCGATGGTAACGTTTTGAAACGTAAGAGAAGTGTCAGAATTTCAAGCTAGGAGTATGAGAAAGAAAGTACTTTGGAGCCTGGGTAAATAGAAATAGTGTTTCTATCCGGGTAGGCGTGAATCCTGAATATTTGGCTTGCATGCACAGTTGAACTGATGGGCAATAAGAGTAATAGAATGATCTGTTTTTCGTTGGACTCAAGTCTCATAAAACTGCAATTCCGATTTGCCGAGAGTTTTCGCCTAACGTCTGAAAATTCCTGACCATTAGGATAGTTCGGAATTTCTAATTCTGCCGTGCGTTTGATGCCAATCAATGCTTAGAAGAATCGTATATCTGCTTCATTCCGATTGGGAACCAGCAGCTCTGAATAATTCACAAAATTCAAAGGGACTCGAACCGGAAAACTTCCGGCCAGTAGCTCGAACGCTCACATCAGCTGATAAGCAGTTTGACTAACTCGAACTAAGACGGGTGGTCTCAGATTCCGGACTCTGGGAGTCCCTTGAGCTTCACGAGTTGCGCGCTTTTCATTAAGGATAAAACAGCCGTACGACGCTTCCCGGCTTTTGACGTCCAATCATACGAAGAACTCTCCGCTGAAAAACGTATTCTCGCCTTGAAAGTGTAGTCGCATGGAAAGCTTTCTCTTTTCGATTGTGACCAGTTGTCCACACTGGGTATTCTGACAAAATATTCCGGATGGTCGTTCTCTAACATGACCCGTTTGAAAAATTCGTGCTATTTGTACAGTTTATCAGGAGTGTCTAGAGACGGCATGCACCATAGCCCTCTTCCAGGCTTCTTTTACTAAGCTCAAGCTCACTGATAAGACGTTTTATTGAAACATTTTGTTTTTCAGGTAGGTAAAGTAGTAAGCGACTTTTATTCGAGGGCTAATCATATATGTGGAATGCACTTCTTGGAGAAAAGCTCAGTATGCTTGTTAAAAACCTTTCCTGCTATTAGCGGCTAATTCAATTCCAGTAGACAGCAGTTTCAGATTCTAACCTGGCCGCCACAAATGGAGCTACTTGATTCGATCAATCTATATTTTTACTGTTATCATCTTACGTAGGATCTATGTTACCTGCAATCGGATGGCTGCACTACAGCCACTGGTTCGGTTGGCAAGCTCCCCTGTGTGGAGTGTTGGTCAAATATTATCCCGCGGACCCCGTCTTTAAGTGTCCTCACACTACCAACCATCTATAAGTAGCTCAGTGGAGGAATATATTTCACCCGATGAGTGAAACTTCCGTCTGAGAGGTCATTACTCAAGGAGCCAGTCAACACGTGTGACCACGTGATGTGGATCCCGCGACTGGAGGATGAGGATATCTTGTCTAAGTGCGAATTAATCACACCGCTGGTCAGCCGCTCGTGGTTGAACGGTTGTGTTCAAACTACTAGCCAGAAGGTAGCGGGCCTCCGAGTTTAGGGAAATGTTGATGTGACAGCTGTACAGTGCTTCTCGGTTTTTCAACATAGATTGACTTCACTTACAGGATGAAATCTTCACAAAAGATACGTTTGTGTTTGAACCAGGTGAGCATGGGGTGCAGGGATCTGCCCTAGGAAACATTTGTTCTTAAATGTTCTGTACTATGTGTGGGCCCAGGATGGACACAGAAATGTTCTGTTCTGATCTAGTGTTCTGATCAGGCACCACGAACAGTGATAACCCTGTCAGGTGACTCTGGTGAGTAGTTCGGTTTGACGTGGAGTCTCTCACTTTTCCAAGCTGAATATTCTGGATAGTTCGCACAGTGGAGACCCGCGTGGTGGAGGACAAATTCTGTTATACCCACCAGAATATACACAGCACTTACCAAACCACCGCTTTGAATGCTGTAGTCACAACAGTGTTCTCTTGTGAGTTTTTTGGTTAGATGTTCGAATTTTAAGCACTCACGAATACAGTTATCTGACATTCTGCTGTGTTGAGAACTCTGTTTCAACTTCCTTTGATATGATTGAAAGATGCAAAATCTCAGGATAAGTAAGCGATAAGCTACGTGATAAATCTCTACAGCGGTTCGTCAGCCTGCAACGGTTGCTGAGCTAATCAGGACTAAACAATGAAGGCGTTAGACGAACCGCGGACCAGATCAGCTAACACACAGTGATGGGTAGCCGAAAGTAATCTATTCCTGCCTCCCAAACTGTAATACAGAGGCCTCCTACGTCTTCGAAAGAGAGGCATGATCTTTCACTGAACTCGCGTTTTCAACGTTGAGAGTTGGGCGGTGGTGGAAGGCCAGATATTTGCCCACAGTTGAGCGTCCGGAATCGCCGTGGATGCCAATTGTTGTAACATACAAAAGACATCGGATATCTACGGATATCTACTGAAAAGTGTCAGATAAGAATTCAGACTGCGCTGCAGATCATAGAAAGTTGACACGGCTTAATCGCAGTGTCGTGGGCTCGTAGAGTTTGCGAGTCAATCAAACGTGAGAGCTGGACATAATGATTCGTTATGCGATACGCGATCCGGTTAGTTGATCAGACGGCTACGGTACAGGAAATCAAGCGCAAGAAGCCACAACGACGGTGGCCTGAAATCACCATAGAAACATTCTACTCTGCTTATCCCGGATAAACAGGGGGCAGAACTGACGATTGAATTGCTTGCTACCTGGGTCACATTTGGAGGATGTTACATAGAGCCATTCATGTTTCACAACGCCTGCAGTCTCTAGTGACACTTTTGTGTCTGATCTATGGGCCACTGCTGAAGGCGCTTCATGTGATTTCCAGCAGAATGAACAACGTTTGTGGTATGTGTACCAAAAATTAGCTCTAATCGAACAAGACAATGCTGTTTACCCTACAAAGACATACAGAACGCCTTCCACATAGGACGATTAAGTTCATCTTCATCACAGTTATAATTACTTACTCGTTAGGCATTTTTATTTACTGAAAAACAATAGTTTTAATGGGACGACGGGTTGTTTTTACTTTTTGCAGCCTAGACACCATTGTACTCTTGCAGTGGAGTGTCAAAACGGACGCCCTTCTAGCTCGCCTGCTTTCACAAATATGGAAAAGAATTCATCACGGGAAATCCCCTGGCGCATTCCACACGTCAAACTTTGAGATCGTCAGACTCTGTTGCCTGATCATTCCTCGGTTGCGAGGGCATTTTTCAGCCAACGGGTCTTCCAAACCTGGGCGGATGAAGCGTGCTTGCCGTCTGCCACACTCGTTATATTTGGCCGAACAACTTGGTATCAACGTTCTACAAATCGGTCGATCCGCTCACGACGTAAAGATGGATACCTTTGGGACTCGGCAGCGATGTCCTTGCTTTCAAAGCAGTGTGGCCTCGCACCATAATGATTTCAACTTTACCAGGACTGCTAACGACCGAATCCATGCATCTGACAATTTGGGGCCGAAAAAACGCTTCATCAATAGGATACAGTTGTATCAGAAGTTGGGCACGGGCAGTCTCGAGATGAGACCCATATTTCCGGTTCATGCAGGTGAGTTTTGCACTCAATCCTCGCTTATTTTGTTCGTTTATTCACTTCGTTATTTACTCCGTCATTCTATTGATTATAACCAACATTTTCTCTCACCAGTTAAGTTTGGTGTCCCATGGGATTGCGGCTGTTTTTATTTTCAACACACCACTTTCCGATTCAAACCCTTTCCACCTGTTTACTTTCACTGCTCAACGGAATTATCAACAAATCTGAATGCGTGATCTTGACGCAGTATGCAAACATACCCCCATACAAGTTTCGGTACACGAGAGGTAAGGTTATGACATATTTAGATACGTATTAGCTTGATTCGGAATTCAAGAACCTCTGCAGAGTGCTACTGGAAATAGGTCGTGAGACTACTCAACACAATATGACTGATCTTTTTGAATCACCTCAGAAGTCATTGAGTTTGCCTTATCATCATCATCATCATCATCATCATCATCATCATCATCATCATCATCATCATCATCATCATCATCATCGTCATTATCGGCGTCATCATCATCATCATCGTCATCATCACCATCATCGTCATCGTCATCATCATCATCATCATCATCTTCGTCGTCGTCATCATCATCATCATCGTCATCATCATCATCATCGTCTTCGTCGTCATCATCATCAATAGGACCACACTTACGTGATCTGGGATACTTCAATGGTGCCCAGACCTAGGCAGAAGTACTAGCAGGAACTTTGACCAAAGCCTTTGGCTCAGGAGCCTGGGTATTTGGTGGGAAATTCAAATGCACTCACATTTTTATAGCACAGGTCACCACACACATTCTAACTCCCAAACCGGAGGGCCAGGAAACTGTGTTGATCAGACTCCGCGATTGCTGCAATGACACCACCAGTATAGTTCAATGGGTCACTGAGGCACACAAACAGTTACACCACGGCAAGGTTCGGTCAGTTCGTGACGGGAATTCCTTAATCTTCTGTCCTTAGCTTTTTCTCTACAACGGGACAAAGGGGGTACAAAAAGAATCGCATGATTTTGTTATTCTGGTCTTTGATCAAATGCCACCTGATCAAAAGTCGATCAATTCAACCAAAGTACCAATATTTAGACGTATTGCCATTTTTATATTTTTCTACATACCAAAGACGGAATGTAAGGCTCGCGCCTAAAAACAGTGGTAATTTCAAGCGAAAACACGTCTAACTAAATTGTGGTGGCCTTGGATTGGGGTGGTCTTACTTTGTAGGAACTAATGGAAAATGAGAACTTGAATCCAATTCTGAGCTCATCAAGGTTCAGCCCCCTTATCACTCAACTAGTAAAGACCATCGTATAAGGAAGGCTGTTTAGCTTCTGGATGAACCTTGAGGTGATCCCACAGAGCACAAGTGTCCCGAGTAAATAAGTCTTGGCAGGAACTAGTCCCCTCTACCTGGAAGGCGGGAGAAAGTTTGCATCCGATTTGTACTACTGTTGTGATTGAAGTAGTCTAAATCTGTTTTGATTTATTTCTACCCTCCCTACTTCCTCTTTGTTCCAGGTGGCGCGTATCGATTTGACGCACTTTTCGTGTGGTATTCAGAGACAAATTCACAAGATAGCTCGAGACAACCATTGAACAGAACGAAAATTCTACTCTTCTGTGCTAACAACGACCCAGGCCTACAGAAAAGTAACCATTCTCACAAACCTCTAGATAATATTGCTGTGAAAAGATTATCTTCACTTTTCCGACAGCTGACACTTCATTCTTGTTCCGTCAGATCGGTAACTTCCACAAAACTAGGTGAGTTTCGCTCCTTTTAAGTGTGATATATGTTTGCTTTGCATATGTAAAACATCCATTTATTTCGTTGTTATCCAGTAGCAGGTTGAGGAAAACCTAATTCGATAAACGTGATACGTTTCAATCACAAACAAGAAATTGCTGCTCACGCGTATAAAATCTGCGGGATTTTGCAAAACTCCAGGCTTTTAGAAGACAAACCTTGTTTATTAATACTGCAGCAACGAGATCGATAAATATATACGTACTTCTCAAGTTGCTCACACATTCGAAGGTAGAGTCTACTTTATATATAAGATGTTTTTCACATCCCCGCAGCAATTGTCTGCACTCTACGCCTACCATATGACTTACATATGACTTACATATGACTACAATGTCTAACAGTGCCACTGAATTTCACTTACCCTTCACAATATGCCAAAACTGAAAGTATCCCCCCGATTGTATGTGCCTAAATCCCTTAAAACGGGGAACTCGAATGATCCACCAACCAAGTGGGCATTTGGCTGGCTCTCCAGAGATTGATCAGACGTAAGCGATAGAAAGACCGAGTAACGAAGGTTATTCTGATGGTTCCGTTGACAAAATATGTCAACCAAAACCGATAGAAAACAAATTATTGCCTTTGCAAGGGGGTGGCGTTTCGACTCTTGAGTGCAGACCACCGAAGGCCGTTTATTTGGGCATTCCAGGTTTGCCTGGAGAGGTATCATGGCGTTTCGCTCTTGAAGGCAAAACACCGAAGGCCGTTTATTTGGGCATTCCAGGTTTGCCTGGAGAGGTATCACCCAATCAGACATCTTAACAATGTCTAACAGCCTGGTAACATTGTAACCCACGTATTTCTGCTTATCTTTTGTACCATGACATCTCTTTTGTGATCACGTGACGGAGTTTGGCTTCAGATTACGCGCATAATACGCATTTTATACGAAGTGGGACAACTGGCAAAAATTGCTCTCGTTTATCGGCGCCAGATTAAAACACGGCAATATTTCTTCTGGTTAACTGATCCAACGAAGCCACATAGCCGGTTAATCTGACGCCAACATTTGACTTGGCTTTCGCACATGGGTTGGCGCGGAATTCCAAACGAGCGAAAAACGTTGCCATGGCTACTCGTATTCAATAAAACACGTTCCGACGGGCGCCGATATTATGGACAACGTGGGCTACGATTTTGCGACAATTCCAGAAAGAGAAAACAACTAAATTGCAAGAGATGCTTGCAAATTAACGAAACGGCTTGTGATAATTAGAATTCTTCTTACCAAGTTGCTGAAAAGGGATTGATCATCAAAATATTTTCAGAAATTGTTTGCAATTTCGAAAAAAAAACTATCAAGGTGTTTTTTCACTGAATTGCTCCAACACTCGCATCTCTCATTGACTACTGTTCCCTCTTGAGGTGATTGTATCTAATAAACTCTCGCAGCCTGGCTAAATAGTCAGATTTTGATTGCATGACAAAAGAGTGGAATTTTCAAAAGTAGTGAATAATTTTTTTTTTGGGGGGGGGTTCCGCCTCGGCACAGAAAACTGTCCAGAAGTGCTCAGCGTGGATCANGTAATTAGAATTCTTTTTACCAAGGTGCTGAAAAGGGATTGATCATCAAAATATTTTCAGAAATTGTTTGCAATTTCGAAAAAAAACTATCAAGGTGTTTTTTCACTGAATTGCTCCAACACTCGCATCTCTCATTGACTACTGTTCCCTCTTGAGGTGACTGTATCCAATAAACTCGCAGCCTGGCTAAATAATCAGATTTTGATTGCACGACAAAAGAGTGGAATTCTCAAAAGTAGTGAATAATTTTTTTTTGGGTTTTCCGCCTCGGCACAGAAAACTGTGCAGAAGTGCTCAGTGTGGATCACAGAGTTGAACTTAATTCATTCCAGGCCTTCCATGAAGCCACATTGGTTGTTAGTCGTTTTAAGCCTGTGTTCCACATTAAGAACTACCTTGGGTTCTTACTAAAACTATCCGATTTGCCAATCAGTTGCGTTATCCTAAAGTCATGTTTTACGTGTCCAAGTGTACAATGTATCCTACGGCAGAACAGCTTGTGCGGAATGAATTCATCCTGCAACCTTGTTGTTCCCCCTGCGTTGGTCGAATCGATCAAGGTATCCAATTGATTCAAATGTATACTCTGGACATATATTTCAATTTATATTCCTCTCATTCTGCGAGTAATGTCACAGAGACGTTTTTACTTCGTAGTACAAGCCCACTCCAATTGTACAATAAAGTATATATGTAAAACCGAGGCTCCCCACAATCTGCGTGACTAAAAATATCGTAGAATCACTTCACAATATCCGAACTCGATGATTCGGATATATGAATATCGGCAAAGCTGGAAAACCTATTTCAACCCCGCCTCATCATAAAATCGCATTATCGCGTCATTACAATCTCAGGGGAACTCTAAATAAACTGAAGTTTTTAAGGGCACTCCCAAATATTACAAACAGACTGGAAAGGTAACATCTAGGTTAAGTAATAATCGTTCAACCACAAGGACCACTCTCTGTATAGGGTGATCAAGACATGTGGAAAAAACTTCTTTCTTTCTTTTACTGGGTACGAAATAACGGTTTAAAAAGTAAACAAGGAAGGTGAACAATCACGTGAAAAATACTTGGAACCGATTGGGTAGTCATCGTTTTTCGAAAAAGTTTGGTGACAATCGGTAGATTTATTGCTGGACAACGTTTCACTTTTGACGCAAAAGCTTCGTCAGGCCAAGTGACTAGGTTCCGAAATAGGATATCCAGTAAGTTTGATTAGGCGTCAACTAAGGAGGATATTGGCTCCAGTATCTAGACCCAGTAAGGAATGGATTGGCTCAGCAGTCCTTCCGTATAAAGCAGGAACATCGGAGGTTAGTCGAAGATTGTTGAACTTAGCCAACATTCGAGTAGCTCTTCAGAAGGGAAAAACGCTTCGCTTAGTTCTGGTGCAATTGAAAGATCCCCTGTCGGCTGAAGGTACTAGGGACTGTGTGTATTAAATTAACTGCAACGATTGTGCTGAGGTTTATATAGGACAAACTGCCAGGGAATTGCACACCAGAATGGGTGAGCAAGCCACCAAGGAACGCAGAAGACCATTAAACAGTGGTATCAAAGACTCACCGATGGCGTTACGTGCTTTAGAAACAGGACATAGAATACATTTAGAGAATGTGGAAGTTTTAAGACGGGGACTGCGATTCACACCACAGCGGCTGATAGCCGGGGCAGTGGAAATTACTAAGAATCACAGCGTGAATAGAATCGAGGGTGTGGAGCTAGCGAGCATATGGAAAGCGGTTTTAGATAAGCCGAGTTGACACGTGACTGTGTGGTTGTCAATCCACTTAGGATCATTAGAAAAAACCGAGGGATAGGGGTGGAAACCCTAACCGACCAAAGGTCACAGCATCCCTCTTACACAACTTTCTTAGCACTCGCCTACCTGACAGAAGTTTCGAACGAAGTTCAAGATGAATCATCAAATGAACCGAACCAGAAGAACTAGACCCTAGGCTGGACCCATACACGTAGGTTCCCACCGACCCAACACTTGTTCAACCACTCTAACACACTAAAATCCCTCGGCCGATACTCAACAGAGATTTAGCTTGGCTTAGCTGATTGGTTCTCCTTCCGCCTTAAATCTCGACCAACCTCAGAACCTAGTCACTTGGCCTGACGAAGCTTTTGTGCCAAAAGCGAAACGTTGCCCAGCAATAAATCTACCGATTGTCACCAAACTTTTTCGAAAAAAGGAAGGTGAACATTTGTTAGCAATTGAATCACAAAGCGCTCTTTAAGGATTATTTGTATTACTTGCCAAGTAACGGCTTCTTTATGTTCTACAAAAGAATTATTTACAAATAATTCACTACCGAAAACCAATAATGTGACAATCCAAATATTTACTACTCACTAAAACCATGAGTATTACTTATCCAGGAGTCTTGGCTTTACAAATCGATAGTCATTGAGTGAACTGGGTCAAACAGATTTCACGTCCTCGTGGGTAGCCGAGGTGATTCCTGTAGTCTGGAAACGTGTGGGAAGTTGGCCGTGTTTGATTCCGAGATGTGGTCAACAGTTGCATCTCGCTGACTTTAGTCGCGCCAAAGAAAATGGCGTTACAAGGAAACGCACCAAGAATACTCTAGGTGCTGACTTTCGCTACAGATGGAACCAAAAAGTAAACACATGTGGTGGCAAAAAGCCCCAGGTCGATACCGTTTGTATCACTAACCTTGATAAGGTGAAATTTTGTACAGTTATACGGGTTATCAATCGACGTGGGGAGCTCTATTTCTGAGGAAAGAACTGCAGGGATATGCTGCAGATTAAAAATCAAATTTCGGACGTGAGAACAACTTGGTTTTATGGGAAATACCTTGCCAACTACAACAAGCATCGACCTCTGTGCAGCAGGTTCAGTTAAAATTCATTATGGAAGGAGCACTCAGCTAAAATTCAGTTCATTATCCCACCAAAACCAAAATTGTTTGTCGATAAATGTACTACTCTTCGTCTTCCGGATGAGACCGCAGAAACCTGGAAGCGGTAGTGGCTGGCCGGACGGACTTCAGCAACCCTCAGAGTTTTGTTACAAATGAATAAATATCAAACTAAACCTAGTTCTATGGAAGCAGTAACGGCGGTTTAGCTGTAGCGCTCTACCAATGCCTATTTGCCAAGACACGAAATCTAAGACACTGCCAAGTTGCCCAAGCCTAGGTAGAGGCAGTCAAGATGTCGAGGTCGGGTTCTAACCATGAAAGTTAACAAACACACATATTAACAAACAAGCTATTTCGAACTAAAAACTGGGTCAGTAATGATGTTTTTGATAACTACAAAGTTGTGTACCGGTGGAATTTCCCATCACGCAGGACCCGGTGAAATGAATAACTAAAGTTAGAAGCAAGTTTTGTGGACCGTTTGGGCAAAATTTACGAGCAGAATGTCGTTCAGAGCTCGTACCA